CCCCCACCCCCACCCCCCGCTGAGGCCCCTCCTCCCGGGCCAGCCAGTGAGTGAGTGTAAACACTGGGCCTGCTGGACATGTTGAACTACTCTCTTGATTTCCCCTTCCCAGATTCCGATTTGGGGTTTCTGTTTTGCAGATCTTTTTTTCTTTTTCTTTTCAGAGCCTTTGTTCTTGGTTTCTTAGACCAATATGCTCTCGAGCATTGCGCAGGCACGGCTCCGTGGAGTCCCTGCTCGCTGTGTTCCTGGCTGCTTGGGGGCTGGGGGGCGGCAGGCCGCTGGGGGAGGGCCAGCCCCGTTTGCTTCCCGCTCGGGTTCCTCCAGGCTGAGTCAGGGGTTGGCGAGGGGTTGGGCCCCCGTCCAGCCTAGGCCTGGAGAGTGCCCATCTGGAGAAAGGTCACTGGACCTGGGAGGGTCCCGAGAGTCCCCCGCTGTCCTATTCATGTCACGTGGCTCACCCATCATCAGGAACCAGGCACAAACCTTTTCCCTGCCACTGACCATTCCTTCCCCAGCCTCAGACACCACTGGCCCCAGGACTGGCCGGGACCAGAGCCTCTAAGAGGAGAGGGGACCCTAGCCAGGCCTTGGCGGAAGGGGATGGGACTGGTTCCAGACCACAGGCCATCCCACGTGCATGCAGCTCACGCAGGAGCGGGCGCCCATGCCCACCCCACTGGAATGTGGCCAAGAGCCAGCCGGCACCTCCCTCCCGGGGAGGCCAGAGGAGATCCCCGGGCACAGGCCTGGGAACTTCAGAGGACTTTTGCAGTGCCCGCCTCGGAGGATGAAGGGAGGGCCTCCTCCCGCAGCGTGCCGCCCACATCTCCCTCCGGCCCGTGGAGTCCAGCCCACAGCCAGGGTGGCTCCGCTGGCTGGCACTGCCCAGCCCCAGCAAGCCTGAGCCAAGGAAGACCCCAGAGTCCTCCCCAGAGATCTGGTCACACACTCTGCTTTAAGCCTTAGCCAACTAGTGACAAGTAAAACCAGTAATGCCCATGTGTTTTGGAACATTTATGTAAGATTGTCATATGAAATGTATTTGGGAACTACATTAAACTTTTAACTAAAACCCTGGCCTCCCGCACACCCCAGGGGCTTCAGGAAGCCCCTGGCCAGGAACAGCCGCCACCTCCCCAGGTCCCTCGAGAGCCTGGACTGTGTGCATGGCCCTGGCCTCACCTTGGGCACCATACCCAGCAGGGGTCCAGACTCTGCCTCTCCAGCCAGGCTTCACACAGAGCCTCCTGCAGCTGCCTGGCTTCCTGGAGGACCCACAGGGGAGAGATGATGGGACAGCCACAGGGCTACGAGGCCTGGGGTCCTGGGTCCTTGTTCCACCTCTGCCTGGTGCCCAGCAGGGAGCCGCTCCAGCTAGTTCTGCAGCCTCAGTTCTCCCACTTTTCCTCCCTCCCCCCACCCACCCTCCGCTCAAGCTCAAAGCCCAGTGGCTTGGAGACCCAGGAAAGGGGAGCTCCTGGGGAAGGGCGTCCTAGTCCTGCACTGGGTGGCATGGCCGAGCCCAGACCCTGCTCACAGCCGCCAGGCACTGGTCATCATGGCCACGAACTCCTCATCCGTGTCCACAGAGGCGCTCACACCGCTGTAGTAGTCCTGGAATTCCGCCAGCGTGACCTGGGAACAGAAGGCCATGAGGGGGGGGCCCGTGGCGGGGCTGCGGGCGGGAGGAGGCGCAAGCCACCCACCTGTCCGTCCCTCTGGGAGGAGTCGAAGTTGTCCAGGAAGCGGCGCAGCACGTCGTCCTCCGTCCACTCCCCACTGCGCACCTTGGGGTGGGCGCGGCCGCTGTACACCCCGCGGAGGTCATCCACTGTCACCACCCCATCCCCACTGCGGTCCAGCTTGGCGAACGCGGCCGCGATGACCGCCTCCCGGGCCTGGGACATAGGGGGCTGCGAGGGGCCGATGGTGACCGGGGGGCGGGGTCCCCAACGCCTCCCCCCCAAGACAGCATGCGCAGAGCTCCAGGGTTGTCACCCCCGGCGGGCACCTCGCAGCAACAGCTCTCAGGGACGAGTCCGCGTCTCGGCATCCGCGGACACCCCATGCCTAGAGGACACGGCCTGGTCACGAGGCTGGGCTCACCCGCAGCGCCCGCAGGAACTCCTCCAGGTCCAGCGTTCCGCTGCCGTCGCGGTCCCAGCGCCGGCACACGCCCTCTGCCTCCGCCTCGTCCAGCGCCAGCCCCAGCTCGGCCAGGCCCCGCCGGAGCTCCCCCGCGTCCAGGGACCTGCTCCCATCCCGGTCCAGGCGGCGGAAAAACCTGGGGGCGGGGGACACGGTCGGACGATGCCCTTGGCGGGGGGAGGGGTGCTGGGGTCAGGAGGCGGCGAGGGCATAGCTCACCTGGCCAGGCCCTGGATACCCGAGGCCCCTCGGGACAGGCATTGCACCCGGAGCTTCTCCACGGTGGCATCCACAGTGTCCATGTTAGGAGTGCTCTCCGGGCAGCTGACGGGAAAGAGGCTACAGGGGGTCTCCCACCCGGCCACCACCTCGGGTCTGGGTGCTGCAAGCCCACCCTGGCCAGCGGCGCCTCGCTCACTCACCTGGCCTGCGTCTGTCCCGGAGTCCTGCCTGCTGGGCCTGGCGTTGGCTGCGCGTCCTGCCCAGAGAGGCCGTTGCTAAGGGACGGTGGCTCTGGAGACTGGGAGGAGCCCCAGCTGTAACTCTACCGTGTCTGGGCCAGGGGGCGGGGCCGAGGGGCAGGGTCGTGCCGTCCCAGCCGCCACTGGCCACCATCGGTCCTGCTTGCTTGCTTCCAGCCCTGCAGTGCCTGGGATACAGCCAGGCCTGGGCTCACAGGGCACCCCTTCCTGGTCGCAGGGAGGAGGGACAGGCCACAGCCCTGCAGGAACTGGAATGTCCTGGGTGGAGACAGGCTGGGGCTTTGGAGGCTCGAGGCCTGATTCCTGTGTGACCCGGGGCAGGTTCCTTGCCCTCTCTGGGTTTCATGGGGCGGCTCAGCCCAAGCCAGGGCTCACAAAATTGCTGAAGGAGGGAGGGATCAAAGATCAAAAGGGCTCAGGGTTGCCAGGTCCACAGGCCCCAAGATGTCCTGCACCGCCATCCGACAGGAGGTCCTAGAACCAGCGAGGACTGAGCTGATAGCAGTGCCAACTGCGACAAAGCTGTCACCAGCGGCCTTAAGGAATCAGTGCTTTTGTCCTTATGGGTCTTTTATTGTTAGTCTTCCGTCCTCAAACATTACTTGGCAGGCTCGCTCGTGACAAGCTGGCGGGCCAGAAGCGGTGGCCCCCAGTGAAGGAGTGACCCTGATCCTTGACATGAGCCTCCAGGGACCGAGGCCACCCCACAGAAGGCCTGCAACAGAGACTTTGATGGCTGGAACCCAGGACTTAAAACATGGGCCCTGCCGGGCTCGGTGGCTCAGCCTATAATCCCGCGCCTTTGGGAGGCTGAGGTGAGTGGATGGCCTGAGCCCGCGGGTTCGAGACCCACCTGGGTAGCGAGACCTCATCTCTACAATAAATCAAAAACTAGCCGGGCGTGGCAGCTCGCGCCTGTAGTTCCGGCTACTCGGAAGGCTGAGGCGGAAGGATCGCCGGAGCCCAGCAGGTCGAGGCTGCACTCCAGTCTGGGAGACAGAGTGAGACTCCAACTCAAAAAAAAAAACAAAAAACATGGCCCCTGTTTTGGGACCAGCCACCTGCACACCCAGGAATCAAAGCCTGGCCTCATCTTGTCCACTGCACAGTTGTGTCGTCAGAAGCTGCCTTTGCGGTCAGAAACCAGTCTGGAGGTGACAGGCCATGCCATGACTCAAGCCACTGCGGCTGTAACACCATCAGTTTTATGGAAAACTGCAGTGACATTTGGCTGCCAGAAATTCTCATGGCTCGCGGCAGCCCCAAATGCTTCGAGTGGGCAGAGAAATCCTTCCTTGTGCTTTTTTATAAGTGTTATGAGCAGTGATTTTTTTTTTTTCTTCTGGAAAAATGTCAAATATAGCCACGGTTCTTGTAGTTCTGTCTTGGCATCTCCTTATTTCTAAAAGAGTAAGAATTTAGGCCGGGTGCCATGGCTCAAGCCAGTAATCTCTGTACTTTGGGAGGTCAAGGTGAGGGGATCGCCCGAGCCCACAGGTTCAAGAACAGCCTGGGCAACTTGGCGAGACATCATCTCTACGATCAATCAAAAAAATAATTGGCCGGGTATGGTGGCGTATGCCTGTCACTCCGGCTACTTGAAAGGCTGAGGCGGAAGGATCGCCAGAGCCCAGCGGGTCGACGCTGGGGTGGCCGTGAACATGCCACTGCACTCCAGCCTGGGCGACAGAGTGAAACTCCAACTCGAAGAGAGTAAGAATTTCAACAATAACCACCATCTCCTCCCCACCAGAACCGGAAGTGGCCCTGGTTCCTTCCTCTAAGCCTCAGTTTCCACAGCTGGAAAATGAGCCGTGAAGATGAGACACAATCATGTGTACGGCACGTCCCGCACAGGCTCCCTGGACTACAGTTCACGTTTGGAGGCCCCTCAGGGCCTCACGTCGGGCCAGGAAGAAGCCAGAGGGCCGCCCTTCCAGCCTCTGCGCCAGGAAGAAAGGACGAAGGACCCAGGCCAAGAAACCATCCGGTTTATTCTTGAACACAGACAGGCCCCAGCCTGCCTTCCCTTTGTACAAACAGCTCCCTCCCTTATTCATCCAGAGAAGAAAATGGGGCCATTGTTGCCACACTGAGGGGGTCACTGTTTGGTGCCAGGCGGGCGGGTGATGCCATCCTGAGGGCCGGAGGTGGCCACCGACTTCTCTGGGCTGGAGCGGGCCCTGCCCGTCGGCGGTTCCTGGTGTGACAATTCCCTGAGAGAAGCAGCTGGAAACGGCTGCCAACCAGGCTGGTTATAGAAAGGCACAGGGGTTCTCTCCTTTCCCCGGTTTGATAAAATGCAAAGTGCCCTGAATGTCTCAGACCAAGGAGGACGGTGTAGAAATGAGTTAAAAAATAGATTCCCTGGAGATAGATTCAAGGAGACAGCTGCTTGTTGGCCCCTGGGACCTCATCAGACGTGCGGAGGGCTCCTGGCTCCCTTGAGGTCCACCAGCCCATCCTGGTCCTGCTGGGGCTTCTGAAGTGTGTCAGGCACTGGTGACAAACACAAGACAGGCAAAAATCCCTGCCCTCTCAAGCTTTCGCTCTGACAGTAAGGGGGAAAGAAATTCCATAAAACAGGGAAGCTGGACGTGGTGGCTCACGCCTATAATCCCAGCACTTTGGGAGGCCAAGGAAGGAGGCTCGCTGGAGTCTAGGAGTAGAAGACCAGCCCGAGCAACATAGACCTTGTCTCAAAAGAAATTAGGCGTGTGTGGTGGTGCACACCTGTAGTCCCCGGCTACTCAGGAGGCTGAGGTGGGAGGATCACCTGAGCCCAGGAGGTCAAGGCAGCAGTGAGCTGTGATCGCACCTCTGCACCCCAGCCTGGGCAACAGAGCCAGGCCCTGTCGCGAAAGGAAGGGAATAAAAGTGGGGAGGGGTCTTCATCTAACGAAAGTAAAATGGCGTGAGGCTTGAGGCGCCCAATTCTGGTCTTGATACCATCTGCCTCCACCAGACAGGATAAGAGAGGTCTCAAACTCAGGTGCTTTAGTGGCCAGACAGATTACCTAAGAGACGTGAGCGGACAACTCGAAACTTTCACCCTGGCTGAGGCGGGACCTGGGACTCAGGTTCGGGCAAGCACAGCCAAGTCTGTGTAAGCATCGCCAGTTTTTCAACAAGGATGATTGACCTGAAGCTTGGAAAAAAGAGTGAGACTGAGTCTCTACAATAAATCAAAAAATTAGCCAGGTGTGGTAGTACACACCTGTAGTTCCAGCTACTTGGAAGGCTGAGGCGGAAGGATCGCCAGAGCCCAGCAGGTCGATGCTGGGGTGGCCCTGAGTGTGCCACTGCACTCCAGCCTGGGCGACGGACTGAGACTCCGACCCAAAAAACAGAAAAGGAAAAAGGCCAGGAGCGGTGGCTCAGCCTGTAATCCCAGCCCTCTGGGAGGCCGAGACGAGAGGATTGCCTGAGCCCAGGGGTTTGAGACCCCCGGGGCAACTTGGTGAGATCTCGTCTCTGCAATAAATCACAAAAACTGCCGGGCGTGGTGGCGTGCGTCTGTAGTTCCAGCTACTTGGAAGGCTGAGGCGGAAGGATCGCCTAAACCCAGCAGGTTGAGGCTGCGGTGCCGTGAGCGTGCCACTGCGCTCCAGCCTGGGTGACAAGATGAGACTCCAACTCAAAAAGAAAAAAAAAAAATAAACTTCTGTCTGGGTTAAACACCCGGCCTATGGGCCTGCTTGAAAGCTTTGGCTTTTTCGCTTGTTTTGATGCCTGGACAGGATTATGGCTCTGCCTTGAGGTCCCCTCCAGGATGCTGGTGGCCCCTGAGGACACACACAGAAGTGGGCTTTTGTCTCCATTCTGGAATTTGCGCTCTGGGCTCACACCGTGGTCCCAAACACTGCAGGCTGAAGGTGGTCCTTGTCCCCCTCTTCCCCAGCACTGTTGGCAAGAGGGGGACCAGACCCGCCAGGGAGCGAGTGGCCAGGGTCATTGACCGGAAGGGGCCCCAGGCGCTCAGCCTCGGCCAGGGCAGCCAGCAGCCCGGCCAGGGGGAACCGGCGGCGACAGATGTCCTGCAGCAGCTCAGCCCGGGGCTGCAACTGTCTGATGAGCTCATCCCTCTGGTGCACGGCCGCCTGCAGGCTGTGGACGGTGGCCTCGGAGGTCAACAGCTGCTCCTGGAGAGTGGCAATCTCGCTGGTGGGAAAACAAGAGGAGTGGTGGTTACAGTGCTGGGGGTCCACAGGGTCTGTTCTTCCCTGCACCTGGCCTTCCCAGGGCTCGCCCTCACATCAGGTCCTCCCTTGCTACTATGAACTGGGTGTTTTTTTTTTTTTGTGGTCTCTGTCACTGAGGCTGGGGTGCAGGGGCACGATCATGGCTCATTGCAGCCTCAGCTTCCTGGGCTCAGGTGAACCTTCCACCTCAGCCTCACAAGTGGCTGGAACTACAGGCATGCATCACCATACCTGGCTGATTTTTAAATTTTTTTTGTAGAGACGAAGTTTTGCTATATTGCCTAGGCTGGTCTCAAACTCCTGGGCTCAATCAGTCCTCCTGCCTCAGCCTCCCAAAGCCTTGGGACAATAGGCATGAGCCACTGCACCTGGCTTGAGTGTCTCTCTCCCCAAAATTCATATGTTAAAATGCTTAACCCCCCAATGGGATGGTATTTGGAGATGGGGCCTGTGGGAGGTGATTAGGGGGGTAAGATGAGCTCATCAGGTTCCTATGATGAGATGAATGCCCCAGGGCTGGGCCTGGTGGCTCATATCTGTAATCTCAGCACTTTTGGGAGGCACTTTTGATACCAGAAGTTTGCGACCAGCTCGGGCAATATAGCAAGATTGCATCTCTACAAAAAAATGTTTTAAAAGTTAGCCAGAAGTGGTGGTACATGCCTGCAGTCCCAGCTACTCGGGAGGCTGAGGCGGAAGGATCACTTGTGCCCAGGAGGTCCAGGCTGCGTTGAGCTATGATCACACCGCTGCACTCTAGCCACTCAAAACTCACTGGTCCTCTTTAGGACACAGTAAAAAGGCAGCAGTGTGCAGTCCAGAAAGAGGCCTCCCCATAAACTGACCATGCCGGCATCGTGTTCTCAGACTTCTAGCCTCCAGAACTGTGAGAAATCTGTTGTTTAAGCCACGCAGTTTATGGCAGTTTACGGCAGCCCAAGCTGACATCACTACCCCTCACTGTTCCTGCAGTTCCCTCTTCCTCAACATCTTTGCCCATTTGTTCTCAGAAGCATCCTCCTCCAGGAAGCCTTCCCTCTGAGACCCCTCAGACCCTCCATCACAGCCCCTGACCGCCCATGTTGTAAACTCCCAGTGGTGCATCTGTCTCCCTGCTGAACTGTGAATTCCCCATGGGAATTCAGACCCCAAGTGTAGGTCTCACCAGTGGGCCCCAGATCTCAATAAAGATAAATGAATGAGTCCAACTGGCTCTGAACAAGTAGTTTCCTACTTGGGTCCAAGTTCCTCCCTCCTCTCTGGGTGCTTGGCTCATCCTCAGCTGCCAGAGGGACTCCAAAAACGTCGAATGATACCATCCTCCCCCTGCTCAAGAACCTGCCATGGCTCCCAATGCCCACACCAGGCAGTCGGTGGTCCCTGCGCCACTCAGCACCAACTGATTTTGCCGGTGGAAGAGTGGGCCCTGTTGAAGTTAGAGAGCCACACTTATGTCACACGTCTCAACTTTCCAAACTGATGGCTAATTTGGGTGCTTTTTCCAATCCCACCAGCAGTCCAACCTCCACAGGGAGGCACACGGTTCCCCCTGCCCTGCCTCGCTTTCCGGTCTCGGCTCCGCCTCCGCCCACCGCCTCGGAGAAGTCCACCTGGCCGCCCCGGGCCTCACCGGTCCTTGGCGCGGCCCAGCTCGTCCAGGGCGGCGCGCAGCTGCTGGTCGTGGCGAGCCAGGCGTTCGGCCTGGGCGTGCACCGTGCGCTCCGCCGCGTC